ATTTGTATTGTTTAATTAGACTTTGAAGATGATCTGTTCGTTACATAAAACTATAAATAATATTTTTTGTTAAAATTTTAAACGACCTATAAGTCATTTCCCAGTTACTTTAATGCAACACATGAACATTTCAGCTGTCGTTAAATAATCCTTAAGTCTCATAAAAATTTATTTTTGACTTTAATAATTTTAAATAATTTTAGATTATCTCATTATGAACTTCCATTATGTTTAACGCTTTCGAATTTAGTCCTTAGAATTTCCGAAAGGTATTTGCAAAGGAAATTAAGTCATGTCGTTAATTCTACAAATAAGACCATCTTTAAAACGTTGTTAGTTTGCCCTCTCCTGATCGAGTAGCTAGAAATGGCCCGACTCAAAACTTTTTTTTCAACCTCCAAGAAAGGATATTTTTTTTTTTACTTATCATTTCGATTTTTTCTCATCCAGACAACAAGATTTAAATTTTATTTCAAAATATTTTGAAAATTCAGCATAGATATTGAATCATGGGGGGGGGGGGGGGGTCTTACCTACTTAACGACCCTTTTTTTTACCCTGAGTCGGGAGAGGGCAAACAAACATTATTTAGATATGGCCCTAAGTTCTTATTTCTCTGCAGCATCTTTGATAATAAAATCATTAAGAATCGTGTCAGTCTATGTTTTCTTTAATGAAGATTTTGAATAATTTATCAAATGACACATAAAGCTATCCTCTTGAATTATTTTATCTTCACATTACAAATGTCGTAATTGATTTTCATTATCAATTTTCTGGAGGTATTTAAAAAAAAAGGAATATATCATGTGGGTTATTTATCTTTACAACGGTTATCAACGGTAATACTTGATATTTTATGTAGTTCTCTTTCAAACATAAAACAATTGCAATTTATTTGGGAGATTTTTAAAGATATACATGTATTTCATACAGATTTCTATGCAAAATTTCAATCCCCTAATTCGGCCCAATCCTTCCCGGAAACCATGATTTAATCTCCATTCTGTGAGGATGCTTGCATGTTATATGACGTATCAAGACCTTGCTGTTTTTCAGAAGAATACTTGTATTTTTTTCTTTTGTCCTTATTTTAATTATTGATTATCCATTGTGGTTCCACCATATCCGTGCGGACCTTGATTTCATCCATTTTAATTTGCAATCCCTGAGAATGCTTATCCAACATTTAATGAAACTTTACTCTAGAACGTTTTTGAAGATTTAGAATCTTATTATTTCATACAATACATGCCAGCGATGTAAATTTTTGAAATAACATGTATAACACAATAACTCAATGTGTTTGGATTAAGAAGACTTTTGTAAGTTTATAGTTTTATTATAAAGTCACAGCAAAGGCAAAAACAATGGTACATACGAAAAGTTCAATGGCTGTCGGTCTCGGAGCTAAGGTGGTGAAAGCTCACATATTCAGTCTAGGAGCTAAGATCGCAAAAAGCTCTCGTAGTCATTCTTAGAGTTAAGATGTTAAAAAGCTATTGATACTCAGTGCGCACACCTTTTGTACAAGAAGCTGCATCATAGGGATCACGTATTTGGTAATAAAAATCAGTAAGATACATCGTCACTAAATTAATATAGTCCGCCCCTCACTGAAGCTCTGTCTCTCATCTCCTTATAGGATACGGCAATGTCCTCTGTTTACATTAACATTGTGCATCTTGCACATTCTTCAGTTAATTAGATGGTTGCAGCTTTGCACAAAGTCTGATTGGAAGTGTCAATGTTAGAGAACAACACATCGTAAAAACTAATTGTCCGTCAAATGAAGACGCTCACTTATTGTATCCAATCTCCCAGAGTTTGTAAACAAGTTCATAACTAAGAGGTTATTGTCCATCGCTATGCACACTGATAGTATCAATTATAATTCAAAACACAATATTTAAAATATTAATAAACGCAATGTACAAAATTAATATATCAATCAAAATTATAATTTGTACGCTCATTGTGTTACACATGTAAATATATAAATAATAGTTCCCTTTAATATAATGAATTGTATGGAGATATCGAACAGTATTCAAGCTCAAAAGTCCATTAAACAATACAAATTCTGAAGCAGAGCAAACACGGAACTTAAAACATAAGAGGTGGGATCAGATGCCACGGAGGAGTGAGCATCCCCTGCCAACCGGTCACACCCGCCGTGTGCTCCATGACATAATCGGGAAATAACGGGTAAATCTGTCGACAATTCAGTGTGTAAATAATGGCCTAAGAATTAGTATGAAAAAGAAAATTGTTTCTACAAAGTAAAAAAATAGAATATATCTAAAATTCATTGTGAAAATACTTTCATTAACTATAGTAAAAATTTAGAAAAAAAAAATTCATTTATTAAAAGCAACTTTGAAAGTAAAAGTAAAATAAAGAACACAATGCTGGACAATTTGCCTCGAAGATAAAACATCCTTTGTATAAACTACTCTTGATTAGACACCATCTTGAATTTAAAGTAATGTAATTTCATCTTTTTCAAAGTTAATGGGAATATTTGTAAACGGTAGTTTTTAAAGGATTTTTGGCAGACTGATTGCTGAAATTATAATTGTTGTCAGTTAAGTTGAATTTTGCAAAGAATGTAAATAAAATAGAAACTTTACATGTTTTGTTCTTTTTTCAAATTAGAAGTACCCAAGTGGAAATTCTAGAGGAAAACAAGGGACGATATATTTTAAAACGACTTTTACGATAACTTCTTGATATAATAAATATATAGTCATTACTTACAGTCCGTGTTCACTATTATTTGACGATAAGACATTTGTCTTAAATGGACTTCCCCAAGAAGATCTATCCATAAACTTTTTCCGATCTCTGTTGAATTTCAGGAGAGGGAGTGAATACAATTCATTCAACTATCTTGTAAAAAAAACTGCTTTTTAAATGCTTTTGATAAATGCTTTTGTGTCAGTATATTATTATTGTACTCAACTTGTACTCAAAGTAATTTTTAAGGACTCACTGTTTAGTTTGTTGGGTATGCCAGGGCAATAACAAGTTGGAATTGTGTGAATGGTTTGATGTCCTTTATGCAAAAGAAAAAACAAACAAACAAACAAACATACCCAACGTTTTTAGCTGTCGTTAATGTCCCTGGCATAGCCAAGAAGTAGATAGCGATCCCTTAAATTTACATTTATATGTAAAATAAGAATGTTAAAATCAATGAAAATGCTGTCTAATAGATAAGAAATACGTGAGGCATTCCATGTTAAATTTCAATTGTCCCCGCCCAGTGACGTCACAAACAGTTGTAAGTAGATAATAATATAGAAATCATCACATTTATACTTCCATAGAGTTATTATAGATGAAATAGTCGGAAATGTAACCATTACAAAATAAGACTTGGGTTTGCGAGAGGATGTTCATTTTTGAAGCTGAGAAATATGAAAACATAGTAAACAGTGATGAATATTTTAAATCCTTTTAAAGAATACAAATTTAACAGGGCCCAATAACACGACCCTCATACATGTAAGCACCAAAGAATTTAATGATATCTTAAAGATATTCTCATATCCATATTCACAATTCTTCATTCATAAAATACATGTATTTGATGTATCTATATATCGAAAAGACTTAGAACACATACTTCATGTGGTATGGGCCAGCTCTCGCTCAATTCGTATTCTGTATGCCTTTGTATTTCTTAAGATTTTGTAATGATAAATTCAAAATCGTTTAGCCGTCACGGTAGCTCAGTCGGTAGAGCGCTTGCTCCGTGATCGGAAGGTCGAATCACGATCGCGACTGACGGTAAAAAAAAGGTAGCAACTGATCCTTCGCCAAGTGCTCTCTGAAGTAAATACTGCGGATCATTCGGATGAGACCTTAAAAACTGAGAATCCGTGTCACGGTAGGCGTTGGCACGATAAAGAACCCTCACTGCTCAATGCCCCGAGTGCCGAGAAAAACGTCTAAATTTGAAGCCTTTCACCGGTATACGGTGACGTCTCTATTTGAGTATAAATTCTTGAACAGGACAACATACAATCAATCAAAATTCTTTATGCAACGATAAGTTGTTCGTTTTCTTACAGTGAATACACAAGTCCTTGTGTTGTATGGTGAATAATTAGGATGTGTCAAGAGTGTCTTAGCATAGGAAAACCTTTCTCTCGTGTCTCGATTTTTAAAATTTCATTTATATCTTCGTTTAGCTGAAATTGTATGACCGAAGAGTAATACAATACCTGCTCAATTATTCAAATATATATCTGATATAGGAAAAATGATTAGGAAGTACAAAATAAGTTTAAATATTTTGAAGGATTAGGCACGATAATAGTGAATTTAAAAAAATATTGGGTAGAATTCCCTTAAAAAATATTATTATTATTTAACTATTGAAGATAAAAAAATGTCAAATATCACATGAACAGTTTTGCATGCTTCTTAAAATTAACGATGTTTGTGTTTGATTAGAATTTTATTATAGCCTTCAGACATCAGAAATAATACTACGACATCCAATTGCTATACTCTTGTACTAACGAAAATTAGTGTTTCAGTAATCATGATATACATATAGAATAAAGTTAACACTTAGAAAACTAAATAAATTACAAAATAAAGGATATAAATAAAATCTTGCAGACATGAGTCATTCTTGGGATACTTTTCACACAAAAAAAAAAATATGTACCTGTCTAGTGTATAGTGTCTTGATATGTTAATTGTTATGTTTAAAATTGACATTTCTGCAGACGTAACATGCAGAATAGAAAATAGCTAACAAAGCACAGCAATAGTAGATTACATCACACCTAGCAACTAACCAATCAGTTTTCAGAAAAAGGTAAAGGCTCTGACATTTATATTTCGCAATGCAAGATCAATTTGCACATTCTTCCAGAAGCGCAATACGTTGTTTAAAACAAAATTTCAATATGAGAGGTCTAGGTATTCTCATTTTAATTGTTGTCTATTCTATATTGTCTCAGGCTACATTCATTTCGAAGATGTATACCGCAAAACTAGGATTTGATCACAAAAAGTCAAATACCGAACTTTTGGGGGAATACAAAGCTCACACCTTGTTTGTTTGTTCGGTGAAGTGTCAAAAAGACTGTATCGTCTTTGGATACAATCCTACGATGAAAAAGTGCCGTATCCACAAGACGATATCCACGTCAGAAATGTCTGAGGAGGCAGGTTAGAGATATTATTCTCATCATGGTTTGTATTAAACATCATTATGAGCATTAAATAATACATTACTGAATGTATTAAATAATACATCATTTACTGCATGTGTTAAATGATCAATTGCTATAATAACTCTTGCACCACGTGGCAATGCTTCTTTTATACATTTTCTTTCTAGTTTAAGATTTATTTTTCATAGTTATCTTTAAGACATGTCACTTATGATCCTATTTATATATAAATATTTTTTGAAATATTCATGACCAAAACGAAAAATTGGGGGCCGGTTTGCTTATCAAAAGGAAAAAGTATAAACACTTGACCTATTTGAATACGATTGTAACTCGATAAATTTAACCCCATTAATATCTTTACATGTAAATATGGCATTTAATGTAAAAATAAAATTATTTTACGTATTTTCAATACAATGTATTATTAAATACTGTTGCCAATTTATGCTCATAAACTATTGTGTGACATTAGAATTCCACTAAACTTACCAAACGGTGAAAAAAAAATATTTGTCGGGAATTTACTTTTTTTTTTGTTAAGAGTTAATGGCTCTACCAACTGTTAAAATTCAACTTATTTTACCTGTTTTTACCAACCACAAAAGTAAGTCCCAAAGAACATATGTTTTTTCTTCAAACTAAAAAAATATAACAAGACAAAATATTTGATGTTAAAACAATTATTACATATTATGTTTTGTTTCTTAAATCAAGCTTAAATCAAGCTTTTTATAATTAATATAGTGCTTATTTAAGTTAAAAGTATCGTACAATTTAAAAGAAAGGAGAAAAATCTTGGTACGTGAAGACAATTTAGAGATTTGGCTCAAAAGTCAAGTTTAGAACGACTTTTTTTTACGTCTACAAAATATTTTGAAAAAAATGTGCAAAACGAATATATTCCGTAAGGACCTATATTAGCAAATTAGCGGTCTCATCCGAAGGACCGGTCTCTACATCCCACAGTGGAATTTCCTCATGTGTTACAGAGACAAAAGATTTATATTACGTCGATATTTTGAGATAGATCCAACTCAATATTTTGATATAATGTGTGGAATGATAATATCCATGAAATATATGAATGTTGTAATGAATTAGTTTGCACCTATAAATTATATAGAAAAAATAAATTTTCTTTATGCAAATAACACACAATCCAAATAGTTCGTGACGTCATCGAAACAAAAATTGCCAATAACCTACTTCGAAACTATTATATTTTCTGTTAATTCAGATTTTTCATACAATATATACAATACAGCACATTTGAAAAATATCAAAGTTTTACTTTTGTGGGGGCAAAAATATGCATATTCCGCATAAAGCTCTTTGTTCTTACAATATTATTCAAATTTGCTTTGAAAACTGCTTTTTTATAATTACATGAAAAAACCTGCTAGTAAAGGTATTAGGCGAAAGATGCAACATTTTGTAAACATATTGAAAAATAGTATACTTTACATTGTTAAATGCATGCATATTTTAATAATGAAATAAATGCAACATCAATAATTTTACATTCCGACCAAGGTTTTATCCAAAAAAAAGATAAAATAAAAAAATAAATAATAAATAATAAATAAATAAATAAAAAAAACACATTCAGCACCGTTTACATTTCTTTAAATAGTGGACGTCATTTAGCTTTCTAAAATAATTTTAACGTTAGGTTTAAACTGTTGATGAATGTTGTCTTTTTAACTTTTATTCCATGATGTCTATATTTATGTTCAATTTTGTATATTGTTAAACTCAGATTTCTAGGTGTCATAATGATTCCAAATTTATCTTCAGCAGAGGACAGATCTAATTGCTTTATGTGTGTTTTTTTAATTTTGAATTAAAAAAAAAATTAAATCTGTAAAAAACATGGAAGCCAAAGTCCTTTCTTTTAATTAATATTTTGAATAATTCATGAGTTTCACAAAAACCTAGAACATTGATTTATCTTCATCCTGTTGATGATTTTAGTTTTCAATTTTCTTCTGGCTTCAAAAACCCATCCTATTAATTTGTAATCTCTACAAGAAAATTCTTGACAGAGAGGCAGTAATTTTGGCTTTATTATGTAAACCTTTTTCTATAATAAGAAATATATAATAAATTCTCAATTTTTTTTTTAATGATTTCGATTCAATAATTTTCGTTCTGTGTATTTTCCAATATATTAACTGATCAGTACAATTTTTTGAAAATTTAAAATGTTTTTATTTGAAGTAATAATTTGAAGTAATAATTTAAAAGATAAACATTTTAATAAACAAACAGAAAGATTTTTACATGACAAAATTTTCTTTCAATCCAGTTATTTAGTCTACAACGTTTCCCATGTTAGCTATTAATGTTGATTTGTCATACGAATTCAGATTTATGTATTTTCCAATTTCTAAAAATTTGCTTGAGCTAAGGTGGGTTCTTGTTATATAAAAATTCATTTGTTTCAAACAAAAATTACATGTACTGAATTTTTTTTCTTGTTTCAGATCTTGCTGAAGATTGTAAGACATTTCCTGAAAACTGTAACACTAATTCAGGTGTGTAAATAACTGTTTCTAAATACTTGTACATCAACCTCTAACTTGCTATGGTATATATCTTAAATTTAAATTATATTTTCCGGTTTTAGCTCTTTCTGTAGACTGTAAAGACCTTCGTGATAATGGTCACACCATTTCAGGAGTGTACGACATTTATCCATACGGAAACATCTCTCGTCCTGTCAGAGTTTACTGCGACATGGAGACAATGGACGGAGGATGGACGGTTTTTATTTACGAAACTTTATCAATTTATTTTTTAGAAATATATATTTGGCTTCACTAGTATTTTCTCTATCCAACAGATTGAACAGGTGTACATGATCGCCACCCATAAAGAATCATTTCAATTTCATAGATACATAGTGATATAGTTTTTCAACATGACTTTTTTTTTAATTAAACCTTTGCTTGTTGTAATAGTCCAATTAATATCATAAAAATATCAAATAAATGTTTATCTTCTAAAGGCAATACAAAAAAGAGTGGATGGGTCCGTCAGCTTTAACAAGGATTGGACAGAATACAGGAATGGTTTTGGTTCACCAGAACAGGATATTTGGATCGGTAAAAATGATTTTGTTTAGAATTGAAGTCATCTTTGATCAGCTCCCAGATCAAAATAGTCAAGTTAAATCTGGAAAGGAACTAAAAAGATTTTTTTTTAAAAAAGGGAGGCAGATAAATGAATTTCATTTTCATAACATGAGTATTCCTGATTCACCTTCCACAAAAGAGGAATCGAATCATATACTTAAGAATAATTTTCTAGAATGAATTAGAAAAGTAATAATTTGAGAATAAATTTTGTTTCTTCTTTGAGGTATTTAAATGAAAAAAAACCCAATGACTTTGCAATAGACTTACATGTATCAATTGATTTTATATTTATCTTAATACAGGGATGACTTGATCTACCAGTTAACAAAGGGAAAGAACTCTTACCTCTATGTTTCCATCACAGACGTGAACGACAAAAAACTGTACGAGTTGTATGATGAATTCTATATTTCCAATCAAACAGAGAAGTATCAACTCTTTCCGACTGGGAAAGCACAAGGTACGTTAGGTATGTGATAAAGAAAGCTCTCACAAGAAAAGGGAGACAAATATTGAATGATTGATTATTTTGTAAGTCCCTTGTACGGATTTAACTCATGCGTCATCAAATACCATGAAGGGCTGCAAATTTAGACTTTACATGAAAGTGAAGGTCCTTTACCCGGCAAACGCCCATTCATTCAAAAGATCTGTGACTTTCATTCTAATACCGGGCTTTTGGCAAAAGAACAGTAATTAATGTTTCGCCTCTCAGCGCCCTTTAGACGCGGCGCCGATGTATTTTTGTTTGTATGTTGTTTAACGTCCCTCTCAAGAATTTTTCACTCATATGGAGACGCCACCACTTGCCGGTGGAGAGCTGCAAATTTTGTCCTATAGTCGGCACTTAGGGCCATTGAGCAGTGAGGGATCTTTTTCGTGCCAGCACCTACTGCGACATGGGACCTCGGTTTATACGGTCTCATCCGAAGGACAGGTTTCCACGTCCCACAGTGGGATTCGAACCCACAACGTAAGGATCAACTCTTTACTTCGCGACTCTAGAGCAGACGCTCTAACCACTGCGCCACGCGGGCGACTGGCGCCGATGTAGAGTGACTTTCGGTTTGCTAATGTAGTAGAGTGCACCGGAACATATTTTTCCGTCTGCACGGGTTTTAATTTTATGCGTTGTGAAAGATTTCCCCTCGCTTGATCTTGTTTACTGCCTGTTTAGCCACATGTTAGGTAAGCTCTACTTGATAATTTTATATATTGGTATGTTCTAGACAACACTAGTCATGTATATCTTTTGTTTAATTAGTTGTCTTAGTTTACAACATAGAAATTAGTTGCATAGGCAGTCTTTGTTTACAGTGTTGGTTTGTATTCCCGCCATTATAAATTCCTTTGTTTATCTGTTACATTATGTGTATTAAACCAGTCCCGGATAGGTTTTTTTATGTTATTTGAATAATACTCATTTATGATTCTAAATGCCATGTTGTGATTGGTAGCTTGGTTGAGTTATTTAGCAATTATTGCATGTCTCGTACAATCCGGAATGGTCGGTTCTAATGTATAGTCAGACCGTGTCCGGTAAGGCGCAATATTTGGGATCACTTGGCTCCACTCTCACAATAGTCATCGTAAGTTATCAATAAGAAGTGTTAGTTATTGTGGATTTCTAGTCAAAGGTCTTGCTAGTCATAGTTACATGGGTAATGTACTGTGTTTTTATTATTACACATTAATAATATTTTGTTAGAAATCAAGACACGTAGGACTGTACTATGCTTTAACTAACATAACAGTAAGTTGAAGTAGCATATGTATTTATGTAGATTTACTTATAGTTATCTTAAGGATATGTAAGTTAAGTCTGTTCATATACAAAATTAATTATAGATCATATGCACCATAGTACATGTGCCATCTAGGGTAGAGCCCCCTGTACTATTTCTTATTCATATCTTACATGACACCACTATTTGTTCACTCAATTGTTTTATGCATGTTATTCTAGTATTAAGTACAGTCACATATGTACAACTTGCTTTTCTTTTTGTTGCAGGTTTCCTTGTACACTGCCACCTTTTTTTATGTTAATAAACAATGAAAACTGAACCAACTCCTTCACACTAAGATAACCCTCAGTTTTGGAATTTATTTTCTATGCGTAAAAAGGTTAACAGGTTATTTTAAAATAAAAACATTTTAAACCTCCCTTTTATACATGTTATGAAAATTTAAAATGTTCCATTGTACATTTAGGGGCATTTCAAAACTTGTACTATAATCATATTTTCAGTTTGCATCCCCAGTATGAAAAGAATAACAATTTCGAATTATCGGATTGCAAATTAATTATTTACTTCCATGTTTTCACATTTTTATCGCATCTTAAATCTGCAATGACTTAGATTAACGTCGTTGTCAAATAAAATCTTTTGTTAATTTATTAACTTGTATTTGTACAGGTGACAAAATGAGAAAAAAAGAAGGTTCTTCCGGTGCTATTAATGGAATGTTCTTCACCACTGAAGACAGAGACCACGATAATTTTGGAAGTAACTGTGCTGACGCTCAGGCAGGAGGCTGGTGGTTTAACAAATGCAGTAACACATTCCTCAATGGTCCCTGGGCTAGTCAGCACTGGTACCGTCCTTGGAATCCTACATTTATAAGTGGGGAGTATATAAAGGAGACAATGATGTTGATTAAACGACATTAGTAGGTGTAACAGTCATTTTTAAAAGCGCAGTGAGCGCCGCCTCAAAACGCCAGTTGTAATTCGAGATTACAAAAGTGGGTAGAAAAAAAATGAACTGTGAAAATTGTTTCCCGAAGTACACTCTGCACTTACAATTTTCTTTGAATAGGGATCTGGCTGCTCAAAATACGAATCCCCCCCCCCCCCCAAAAAAAAAAAAAATAAGGGAATCGCTTTGCTATATTGAAAATTGCAGCTAGATCAAATGCCTTCTGTTTTAAAGAGGGATTCTTCTCATAAGAACACTTAATTCTTATATTTAAAAATCAATGAAATTTCCACAGAATCAAGAAGACAATATCACTAAGTGATGGTATCAGTTGGATTAAATTTGACCGTTTTATATTAGAGGCAAAGTCAGGTCAAGGTCAGTACCTTTTCTCTGGACATTAAGAATAAAAAATTACTTTTTCCAATCATGCGATGCCTACTTCTACTTAAATTATATACATGTTTTTCTTTTTGCATAAAGAGATATTACCATATAGGGTCTATAAGATGATATTACCAAATTGACATAAATAATTTAACTAAAATGGATATAGGCTAATCCGAATTTTCTCTATTTTTCTTAAAATTTTAAGATATTTTAGTTATTTTTATATGCTTCCCATACTTAAATTTTTCTTATTTTCACATATGGTAAAGTTGTCACATAAAGGTACAAAATGATATAAAAACAAAAAGTTTTGACCGTTTAGTAAGAGAGAAAAAAACCCACTTTTTACGAATTTTTGTTTCAAATCTGAACTTAGATTGGAAGCTTTTAAAAGCTAACATTATTAAAGTGTGCTTGGAAAATCATATTCATTTGATATATTTTAAAACTTTAGTCCCTTATTATTTTCACTTACATTTAAAAATTTTCTCCTAGTCTTTGATTGTGTAAAAATAAAACTAAATTCATTGTTCTATAATTATTTTGAGAGGCAGAAAAGAAGATATTTTCATACGCCGCCATTCCGCCAAAAATATAGTCCCTGCTAGAATTCAAACTCAGTTTACCAGATCTATTTAAAGTTGTACAATTGTGATGAGGAAAGAAAAATATGATCTTTTAAATCTCTTACATCTAAATATACAAAACATATAAGCAAATATACTTTGAATATTTCATCTAGTCAGAAACCAGGCAAGAATCCCTCCTTAATTTGGTCTTTTTCATTTCTTTTTGAAATTCTTTTACCATACAATGTCTCAGTCTACACCTCCCTAATTCTTCTACCATACAATGTCCTGCCACGTATATCTCAGTCTTCACCTAATGTTTTGTGCGGTTTGAAGAGGCGGATCTTTGTTAAAAGCTGAATGTTAACATTTATAAATACACATTTTTAAGCGAGTACTTAATATTGCGATTGGGTTTTAGACGTCCAGTCGTGGAAACATTTTGCAAATCGCCTCTTCATCAGGAGCTTTTACATGAATTGGAGCAATTAGAAAGAAAAAGTGGGAATTTTTAATTTAATGTGAAAATTACTTGATAACAAATTTTTCTCAAGTATTTCAAAATCTACAGTATATATTAAACGTAATTTCAGCTTTTTGAAATAATTTTAGTAACTTTTAAACAAATCTTACCTGATTTATTCTAGCAAAATCTAAGGTACATATTAATACACTTTGTAAAATAGACTCAACATATGTTTGTCTCGTACTTATGGGTATTTTTTTCTTTATCTCAACAGATTGGAAATGGAACAAAGAAAGCCATGGTTTATTTAGTCCAAAGCAGGTTTTTAAATACATCAGAGTGAAGCAAATAAGACACTTAATTAATCTGTATTTATCATGTTTTCTTTATTTTCATCTTGAATTATGTTTTTCTGATAAGAAAATATTTTTTTCCATGTTAGCATTGGATAAGGCAAGCATTGTTTGATAAAATACCGATCATTGCTGAAATATATTTTATCTTAAATTCAAAAGGTTGGAGATAAAATCCTTATTTACAATGTATTTCCCTTCTGTATATTCCCCGATGTTGATAAAATATTGAGTAAATTACACAAATTGTTTTGTTTAGATTTACAAACATAATTCAGAGTTACACTTAAATCCAAATAAACAGGATTACGTACCATAATTAACAGATATAGAAAAAATGAATATTAAACACGTTCTTTTCTAACAATCCATGTTTGCAAAGATTGATGATTAAAATCGTAACAGAACAAGAGATGTTTGTAAAACACTTTTGCCCCCCCCCCCATCCCCCCAAATAATTGGAAAAGTCCAAGGGACATTACTCTGTGAAAAATTGCTATATCGTACCCTAAACTGAACTTGACCTTGATATTCTTATGATAAATTTGTATATCAAATTTCATTTCAGTATATCCAACCTCTGTGAAGAAAATAAACGGAAACTGCAAATAATTGGAATTTTTCTAAGTCCATGGGGCATAACTCTGTCAAAAATTGCTATATCGTCCCCTAAACTGAACTTGACCTAGATATTATGATAAATCTGTATACTAAATTTTATTTAAGTATATGCAACCTCTGCGAAGAAAATGAACGGAAACTGTTGGTGGATCGACCGACAGACAGCAGCAAAGCAAAATGCCCTTCCTTCTTCGAAGGTGGGCATAAAAGGAGTAGATCTGCTTACTTATAACTAAACTGAAAACGAAAATTAATCTTGATTCGAAAACTTTCTAATTGACTCTATAATATTCATAGAAAGAATTCTACGGTTTACCAGTATAAATATTAAATCAAAATTTTATCAAATGTATGTAGGTAACATTTCTACATAGAAAATTTAGAATCAAATATACAAAATGGATGTTCTGAGTAAAAGAAGTCTGTGAGCGCTAATCTGAATGATGATTAGTCATACAACAAGTCAACCCCGATAAGGGACAAGCTCAAACTGGAATTAATACACGTTGCGAACTAAACAAGCACAATGAGAATGCATATATACGTTGTTTTTGATGACTTAAGCAATTCTAATACTTGAAATATGTTGTCATTTTTATGCTGTTTTTAAAGTAGACACAAAGACCTTTGATGTTTTTACTTTCCAAAATACCCATAAGGAGATAAGTGAGGAAAATGGTAAAAATTAACTAAAAATGACACAAATAAACTGAAGTAAAAAAGATGAAGATAACGAAGCGTAATCAATCTAAAAAAAAACACCTAAAGTCAAAACTAATCCGTGAACAGGTCATAAAACACAACCCACCCACCCCCTGGAAATTCGAGAGGTGGAATAGAAGCCAAGAAGAAGAAAGCATCCCTCGAAGATCAGTAACATCCGCCATGAGCCTTGTGTATAGTGTATTGATCAGGTAGATGGAACCTTGTGGTCGAGTTTAGAATAAAACAAAGAAAAAACAATTGGTATGAAATTTGTCGGTCAAAATAAGACTCAGTGCTCAGTGTTAGGATATATCTGCGTACAAGGTCATTATATCTACCTCTGAATTCACCTGACTTAAAAAATTGAGGTTATTTAAATTCCCGTAACATCAACTTATCTACGAGTAGCCTGTCCCGCTTTAAAAATTAATCGTACGCAGAGCATGCTTTTGAGTATCGAGTAAGTTGGTAGACACAAACACTATATGAAGTTGAAAGCGGAATATTACTACATAAAGAAAGTTGAGGATTGAAAAGATGAAGTCATTTAGTTTCTGTACATTTTAATTGCTAGTTGGTCTTTATCGTCTATAGTCAATAAAAATTTCAAATATAAAACAGATGTAGAGGACACAGTAATGTTTTTTTTTTATTAGCTAACCTGAGCCGAAGGCTCAAGTGTGCTTTTCTGATCACATTTTGTCTGTAGCCCGTCTGTCCGTCTGTAAACTTTTCACATTTTCCACTTCTTCTCCAGAACCAGTGGGCCAATTTCAACCAAACTTGCCACAAAGTATCCTTGGGTGAAGGGGATTCAAGTTTGTTCAAATTAAGGGCCACGCCTTCTTCCAAGGGGAGATAATTAAGAATTCATGAAAAATTAATGGCATCATTAAAAAATCTTCTCAAGAACCACTGTGCTTGAAAATATGAAACTTATGTGGAAGCATCCTCAGGTAGTGTAGATTCAAGTTTGTTCAAATCATGACCCCTGGGGGTCAGGTGGGGCCACAATGGGCGATCAAAGTTTTACATAGGAATATATAGGAAAAATCTTTAAAAATCTTCTTCTCAAGAACAGCAAAGCCATGATTGGTCATATTTATATGGTAGCATCCTCAGATAGTGTAGATTCAAGTTTGTTCAAATCATGACCCCCGGGGGTCGGGTGGGGCCACAATGGGCGATCAAAGTTTTACATAGGAATATATAGGAAAAATCTTTAAAAATCTTCTTCTCAAGAACAGCAAAGCCATGATTGGTCATATTTATACGGTAGCATCCTCAGATAGTGTAGATTCAAGTTTGTTCAAATCATGACCCCCAGGGGTCGGGTGGGGCCACAATGAGCGATCAAAGTTTTACATAGGAATATATAGGAAAAATCTTTAAAAATCTTCTTCTCAAGAACAGCAAAGCCATGATTGGTCATATTTATATGGTAGCATCCTCAGATAGTGTAGATTCAAGTTTGTTCAAATCATGACCCCCGGGGGTCAGGTGGGGCCACAATGGGCGATCAAAGTTTTACATAGGAATATATAGGAAAAATCTTTAAAAATCTTCTTCTCAAGAACAGCAAAGCCATGATTGGTCATATTTAAATGGAAGCATCCTCAGATAATGTAGATTCAAATTTGTTCAATTCATAACCCCCCCCCCCCGGAACCACTTTTATATTTAAACTTTTCAACCTTTCAAGACTTAACTGATTTCTGCTTTTTCGTAGCCGTAGTGCACAGGTGAGCGATGTGGCCCCTGGGCCTCTTGTTTTGAGTTAAAGTCGCCATATGAGTGGCAGTAATGTTTTTTTTTAAATTTTCGTTTAATTGATAAAACGTCTTTGATGTATCCGAATATCGAGTGGA